GTATCGGAGTGTCTGAGCCTCGGGCTGGGCTCTGCACCATCCATCAAAGCCTGCCAAGGACTCCATGGGGGAAGAGTTACCCAACTCTTCTGGAAAACACTGAGAATCATCCACCTAAACCCCTCAATCACCACCAGCTTCACACTTCTTTGTGCTGCAGATCCAAGTGAATGCTTTCACATACCCTGAAGATGGCAGATTCCAGCCCTGCTTCCAAAAATTATGCCTGCACTCGTGGTCCCAATCCCATTTCCTCCCAGTTGAGTCCCCAGTGCACTTTTGGACTTGCCTCCAGTCCCCCAACTCGCTTTTGGACATGAAGCATCAGCTCTCCGCTTGCTTTAGGAACTCTTGAAACGTGAACTGCAAATCTACACAGAGCTACATGAAATATAAGGGGCTCCCTTCAATAACACACATTTTTTGCTCTTACAGCTTGGCTGTTTTTCCCTCCTCTCCGTCTCCTGAGCCTTTAAAATCCCACAGGACTAGAGAGAGGAAAAAAAACAAACCAAACAACAAGGCAAGCAGGAAATAAAAAAGCAGGTGAGGAAACGGAAAAAAGAAAAAAAAAAAAGAGGAGTTCTTTCTATGGCCCAGATGAATTTAGCCCCCCAGCTGACCACGGCAAAGCAGCAATTCCTAGTGGGATGGTGGTGGGGTGGGGGGAGGTGGGTACTCACTGGTGCTTGTGCTAGTGCCGATGGTGTTGATGGTGGTGGGGACGGAGGAGGAGGAGTAGAGGGGCAGGTGGCCGTTCTCGCACGCCAGGTTTTTGTCCTGCCAGCTGGAAGCGCTGACGCTTATCCCCGAGTCCCGAGAGTTCTGCCACCCGTTGAGTTTGTCGTCGGAGTTCTGTCTTTGGTGATAGTAGTGAGCCTGCCCGTAGTCCACCGAGTCCGAGCGGCCCCGGCCCTGCCCGCCGAAGCCCCCCGACGTGCGGTCCTCCAGGTGGTTGAGCCACATGGCCAGGGCGCTCCTGTCCTCCAGGGAGGTGGCGGGGTGGATCAGGGCGTAGGACAGCAGCTGCCTGCTCTCCTCGATGTGCTGGTTGTGCTCGATCGAGTGCGCCAGGATTTTGGGCAGGAGTTTCATGTACTCGACCTTCGCCTCGATGTTGCCGGGCTTCAGTAAAGGCAGGTGGGTTAGCAAGAGGGAAATCACTTTATCCTTGGATTCCTGTTGCCACTGGTTGATGATTCCTGTTGGAGGAATGAAGGGGGAGAAAAAAAAAAAGGAGATAATTGAGAGATTGGCAAACAGAGCTAATTAAGATATAAACAGAGCATGGCAGGGTAAATCCAACATGGGATTTCTGCATCCAAAGGGATGTCTGTGTTTGCGATGCTCACATCCCAGGCAGGGGGGTTACCACGCTCCAAAAACCACGATCAGGGCAAAGTGTGCACCACTGGATGCCAGAAGTCACCAGATGCTCTTTAAAATCACAAAAAATGCCAAACTACACTCAGCTCTACGGCCACACAACTCCACTGCTGTTATCCTAATCACAGTCATGATTTGGCCCAATTTTTTCCATATCATTGCAGGTTACAGAAAACACTAAACAAAATCACTTGGTGGATAAAGCCAA